TGATGAAGATCATGGGGGGTAGGACTGAGCAGAGCGGGGGATATTTTTGTGGGACTTCCAGAAACGATGAGAAGCCACCAAAACGATGAGAAGCCACCAAAACGAGAAATAACTCACATCGCAAAGCAAGTAATTTTTATTCGGAACGAGTAATTTCTATTCGGAACGAGTAATTTTTATTCGGAACGAGTAATTTTTATTCGGAACGAGTAATTTTATTCGGAACGAGTAATTTCTAAGAAGTAATGAGTCGCGACCTAAAAGCAGTTTTTCCATCATTATGTCAGGTGTGCCTCTAAATGAATTATTACGGACTAAGAATTTAGAAAATGTCCCTTTTGGTTATAAACTATTTGTGAACGACAAGATGTTCTTATATATATGAGAAATGTCTTCTTCGTTTATTAGTCATCTCGCGAGAAGGAACCACAAGGAATTCTAAAGTCATCGTTTTGCCGGGTGTTCCAGTTCTCAACGGATTCCTCGTAAAGGGAAATAACATAGATTTTTCGAAGCTAAAAATATCATTTTTTATCTCCGGGCACGAGCACGTCAAACTTTGCGATCAGTGTCCCAAAAATACTCGGTCTGAACATTTGCCGGGTGTTCATGGAAGTGGCTATGGACAAGTTGCCACCTTCGGGATATTTTGTATTGGGAAGCATGCCGAAATTCAGCAAAGGAATATTTGCTTTTTCCGCTATTTGCATTGCTTTTGGTGCAATCCATCTCCTCCATCGGCTTCAGATCATTGTCAAACATGTGCAAATCTCTACTAAAGTTGAGCCAAAAAGAGATACATTGAACGTCTCACTCAACAATGAATCTTGTGTAAACAATTCGCTAGCTCCTTTGAACTGGTGTATTGATAACGAGTTCCACAAACCTAGGTTTGTGGGGAGAGATGAAGACGGAGATGTGTGGCCACCAAAGACAATACAACTTTATTCTTCCGAAGGATACGAAGCGTGTTTAGCGAACAAAGTAATTGTTTTCATTGGAGATTCAAGGGTCCGCTATCAATTTTTGAATCTAGCCGGGTTCTTGAAGTACCGTAAATTTATGAGATGCAATGATTATCCATCAGGATATGAGAGAGATGAAACATGTGTCCTCATCAATGAACAGATGCGGAACAATTGGAACATCTGGTATCAAGACACTACAGAGATACTTCAAGAAGCGTCAAAACAATACAGTCTTTGTGATTGCCATCGTTCTGGAGTGTTCGCTGCGAACAAGTCCTATGAAAATCGTTATATTCATCGAGTCACTCAATTTGGAGATATAAAACTTGTTTATCTACAGAATTTTGAGGACCTCATCCGAATTGATAAAGAATTTCCACCCTTTTCCACCTCATACTTTCCCAGTGGCTCTCAGTGTAAGGCTGGAGAGTGTGGCCAAGAAAATCGAACAAATGCATTTGAAGGAAATCTTGAGAAGACTGTGTGGGAAGTGTTGCCAAAACTGAAGGCAACGCATGCTTTTGTTAGTGCGGGTTGGACTAGAAACCCCAAAAGGCTTTCGCATCTGTCCTGCATCCTTGAGGAATTTCAGCTTCATCAGCAAGGAATTCAAGCTTTCTTGATCAGCAATCCATATCCATCAACTACGAAGAAACCTATAGTGTTTGAATCAAAGAAACTGAAATGCCGATGCAATGTATTCGATCGTGCTGTGATGAGCAAAGCTGTGCCAAGGGAATGGTATTGGGATTCTTTACATCCTTGGAGTATTCTGAATGAAGAGTTCAACCATCAATTAATCAAGTCCATTTGTCCAATCTAGAAAATGTAAATGGAATAAGCACACATGTGAGGGCAACAGGAATACAACTTCATCATGGGTAAGGTTTGACTTGCTGTAGAGAGACGCGCTCAATAACATGAGGGGCAAGTGGAATGGTAAGGGTACCATTAGAATGGACTCGTTTGATGCGGTACTGTTTGGAGTCTGTGCAGAGATGATAGTACTATTATTCAGATTGTGTCACATTGAGCGAAGGTCAGTTTTTCATTCAGCAAGGATGAGCCCGGTGTAACCCAACCTTATCAGAGTCACAAAGAAAATTATGGATGTACTTGAGAGTGCTTATGACGACTTCCCAGCTTTCAAGTGTGATTCCCCTCTTCAGAGAAGAGCAGGATAGTACAGATATTTTACCCAAGACTTACAGAACTGTTTGACCCCATCAAGATACAATTTACAAGATCCTTTAGGTGCTTACAAAGCTGATGAAAAGTATATCAGACCTCTGCACAAAAACGCTAACTCTCAGCACTTTGAGCATAGGAAGATGATGAAATGATGAATTGATGCAGCATGAAGAGTTTTTTGAAGAAGCCCCATCTGAAGAAGATAATCCTACGGATTACCAGGCGCCGCCTCCACTTCATGACTCGATATCTAGCGTGATTGGCCTAGGATGATTGCATACTACGAATTTGTACCAAACAAGATTATGCCAGTCCTCCATACGTAAGTAAGAGATGTAGGTTTGGCATCGTAAGCTTGGTAACTAGAATTAGGGACCGGATTTGGAAACGGGAATCGAAGATTCGACTCAATGGACTCAAACGTGACACAAAGTTGGGACCTGGATGGTACCGAGCATTTGGTGCAGAAGAGATAAATCAGGCCAAGGAATGGTATGCGATCGCTTCCGGATGAAACGGAAGAAAGGGCCAAGACACTTGCGAGTGCATGGAGTGGGAAAAAAGAAAAGGAAAAAAGAAAAAGAAAAATTGTGGATGGCTGGTGCATCATATAAAAGGGAGTAGAAAGATTGCGGAAGGTAGCAAGGTAGTTATATAAGAAATGTAGTTGCATCGATCATGGTGATTGCATCATTTTGTTGCATGCACAGATGGGCGACGTTGCGCAGGTATGCCATGAAGGCATCGGATTTCCATCGGAGGAGGAACTTGATCTGGTCAGTGGTTGCCCCGGAGGTGTGGAGGAGGACACAGGCGCCAACTCGGATAGAGTGGGAAGAATACTGGATCTTATCTTGTTTGGGGTCGAGGTTGTAGAGCGAACAAGCAACATGGCGCATGACACGGGTGATTTCGGCGTCATGAAGGAAGAGGACGCGGGCGCCATCTTGGTATACCGCAAGGGGGACATTGGTTGTGGTGATTCCGATTAATCGGTCAAACCGGGAAAGGATGGAATGCATCCGACGGATGTAGCAACGGAGTGGTGACTTTTCGCTGCGAATAAAAAGTTTTTCTTCCCCATGGTTACCGTTCTTCTGATGGGAGAAACGCGTTTTTATGCGCCAAACAAGGTCTGGATTCTGAAGGAAGTCGGAAATGGATACTTTGCGTTTGGACTTGTCGTAACAGGTTACATCTTCGACACAAAATGCAATGGAAATTCCGTCAAAGGTTGCTCGGTCGCCAATATTTTTGTTGGCGGAAGTTTGGGCATACTCGGACAGGCGGTGGCCGTCGAGGAGGCCGATACTGTTCCAGTCTTCACATGTTTGCCAGAGACCGTCCCGGTGGGCTTTGGTGTCGATATTGCGGTGCTCGAGGTGTTGTTGCATGTCGAGGGTGTATGTTAGAATAAAGCAAAATGTGCTCTATCGTGAGTGCCTTTAGCGCTCAGAACAAACTCTCTGCAATCTAAATTCGTAATCGACTGTACAACACTTTCACGACAATAGTTCTCCTGTGTCTAGGTATACTTTTGAGTGAAATTGTTCCTATTTGATTAATGTTTGGCTTGAATTGATGATTCAATCACAAAAGTAAGTTCAACGATTTTCCCTTGGAAAATCCCTTGTTTACAGAACTTGATTCGACCTCTACGACAATTCTGTGTTGGATACAGTACTTTGGGACATATTGTATTGTTCCCTACTGCATTGTACACAACATCGATATCTCACTTGTATAGGGTCATTCCCTTTTTGTGTGGATGTAGTTTGTCCGACAGACTTGCGTCCGGCATACTTGCGGCGAATCCCGACATCACGATCAAAGTCCGATCGTACGTGTCGAAAACTTCGTACTTGAATAGTTTCTTTTTGGAACGTAAAAACTCATATTTCGTCATATCCCAACAGTGTAGGGCTCAAGTTTATTGGGAACGTTTTCATGGCGCTCCACTTCAGCAATGGTGGCATGAATATCGGGTGACATTTTGGTGTCGCTCGGGTTGTTGTATCGGGGATCACGACCGGTGAAAAGGCAGATAAAAGATGCTGCCGCATGGAGGTACTGCTTGATTGTGGCAGACTTGATATATTGGCCTTTAATTGTGCGACCGGTAGCAAGGGCCACTGTGTAGAGTGCAAAGGTTGCGACGCGGCGTTCGTGAAGGAAGTCAGGGCCATTCATTAAATAGTCGTCGCGCAGCTTCATATCATAGCAAAACTTGAGGAAATGGAGTCGGCGGGAACGAAGTGTCCCAGATTTGCGGGGATCGTCGGTGGCGCCTGCTTTGGATTGGAGAATAGACAGGAGCGCAGGACGGAGCAAAGTTCGGGACTCGGCTGGAAATAATCGTAGTTTCTCATCCAAGGTAAAGTGCGAAATGTCTGCGAAAGTAATTGATGGTGAGAGAGTTTCAGGTTTGGGCGGGAAATAAAATCAGCAGCAAAGTTGTCATCACCAGGGATATGATCAGAAAGAGCAGTCAGAGGGGAGCGTTTGAGGAGCTGACCATGCAAGTCGACCAAAAGGCGTGCAAAAGGGCTGTTGGTGCGGGCGTCATTCATTCATTTCTCAGTTGGAGTGTTGTCAGTGCGGTTGAGCAGAACTGGGAATTGGGAAAATCCGTTTGGGAATTTGTGGATGGGCATGGGAAGTTCCTTCAAAGCGGACAACCGTGGCAACTTCCTGGAGAAAGGCTACCAAGAACTCAAGGCTGTTGATGTGGACGTAGTTGGGGTTGCTGGCTTTCAGTTTTATACCAGCAACAATATCTGGGCTCCAAACTGTGCGGAACCAAAATAGAAGTTCGTCGGAATAGGCGCCTCCTCCAAGAAAGCTAGCATCTCCGTACGACATGAAATGGGGGTCTCTTGTTAGAATAAAGCAAAATGTGCTCTATCGTGAGTGCCTTTAGCGCTCAGAACAAACTCTCTGCAATCTAAATTCGTAATCGATTGTACAACACTTTCACGACAATAGTTCTCCTGTGTCTAGGTATACTTTGAGTGAAATTGTTCCTAGTGCCTTTAGCGCTCAGAACAAACTCTCTGCAATCTAAATTCGTAATCGATTGTACAACACTTTCACGACAATAGTTCTCCTGTGTCTAGGTATACTTTGAGTGAAATTGTTCCTATTTGATTAATGTTTGGCTTGAATTGATGATTCAATCACAAAAGTAAGTTCAACGATTTTCCTTTGGAAAATCCCTTGTTTACAGAACTTGATTTGACCTCTACAACGATTCTGTGTTGGATACAGTACTTTGGGACATATTGTATTATTCCCTACTGCATTGTACACAACATCGATATCTCACTTGTATAGGGTCATTCCCTTTTTGTGTGGATGTAGTTTGTCCGACAGACTTGCGTCCGGCATACTTGCGGCGAATCCCGACATCACGATCAAAGTCCGATCGTACGTGTCGAAAACTTCGTACTTGAATAGTTTCTTTTTGGAACGTAAAAACTCATATTTCGTCATATCCCAACAGTGTAGGGCTCAAGTTTATTGGGAACGTTTTCATGGCGCTCCACTTCAGCAATGGTGGCATGAATATCGGGTGACATTTTGGTGTCGCTCGGGTTGTTGTATCGGGGATCACGACCGGTGAAAAGGCAGATAAAAGATGCTGCCGCATGGAGGTACTGCTTGATTGTGGCAGACTTGATATATTGGCCTTTAATTGTGCGACCGGTAGCAAGGGCCACTGTGTAGAGTGCAAAGGTTGCGACGCGGCGTTCGTGAAGGAAGTCAGGGCCATTCATTAAATAGTCGTCGCGCAGCTTCATATCATAGCAAAACTTGAGGAAATGGAGTCGGCGGGAACGAAGTGTCCCAGATTTGCGGGGATCGTCGGTGGCGCCTGCTTTGGATTGGAGAATAGACAGGAGCGCAGGACGGAGCAAAGTTCGGGACTCGGCTGGAAATAATCGTAGTTTCTCATCCAAGGTAAAGTGCGAAATGTCTGCGAAAGTAATTGATGGTGAGAGAGTTTCAGGTTTGGGCGGGAAATAAAATCAGCAGCAAAGTTGTCATCACCAGGGATATGATCAGAAAGAGCAGTCAGAGGGGAGCGTTTGAGGAGCTGACCATGCAAGTCGACCAAAAGGCGTGCAAAAGGGCTGTTGGTGCGGGCGTCATTCATTCATTTCTCAGTTGGAGTGTTGTCAGTGCGGTTGAGCAGAACTGGGAATTGGGAAAATCCGTTTGGGAATTTGTGGATGGGCATGGGAAGTTCCTTCAAAGCGGACAACCGTGGCAACTTCCTGGAGAAAGGCTACCAAGAACTCAAGGCTGTTGATGTGGACGTAGTTGGGGTTGCTGGCTTTCAGTTTTATACCAGCAACAATATCTGGGCTCCAAACTGTGCGGAACCAAAATAGAAGTTCGTCGGAATAGGCGCCTCCTCCAAGAAAGCTAGCATCTCCGTACGACATGAAATGGGGGTCTCTTGTTAGAATAAAGCAAAATGTGCTCTATCGTGAGTGCCTTTAGCGCTCAGAACAAACTCTCTGCAATCTAAATTCGTAATCGATTGTACAACACTTTCACGACAATAGTTCTCCTGTGTCTAGGTATACTTTGAGTGAAATTGTTCCTAGTGCCTTTAGCGCTCAGAACAAACTCTCTGCAATCTAAATTCGTAATCGATTGTACAACACTTTCACGACAATAGTTCTCCTGTGTCTAGGTATACTTTGAGTGAAATTGTTCCTATTTGATTAATGTTTGGCTTGAATTGATGATTCAATCACAAAAGTAAGTTCAACGATTTTCCTTTGGAAAATCCCTTGTTTACAGAACTTGATTTGACCTCTACAACGATTCTGTGTTGGATACAGTACTTTGGGACATATTGTATTATTCCCTACTGCATTGTACACAACATCGATATCTCACTTGTATAGGGTCATTCCCTTTTTGTGTGGATGTAGTTTGTCCGACAGACTTGCGTCCGGCATACTTGCGGCGAATCCCGACATCACGATCAAAGTCCGATCGTACGTGTCGAAAACTTCGTACTTGAATAGTTTCTTTTTGGAACGTAAAAACTCATATTTCGTCATATCCCAACAGTGTAGGGCTCAAGTTTATTGGGAACGTTTTCATGGCGCTCCACTTCAGCAATGGTGGCATGAATATCGGGTGACATTTTGGTGTCGCTCGGGTTGTTGTATCGGGGATCACGACCGGTGAAAAGGCAGATAAAAGATGCTGCCGCATGGAGGTACTGCTTGATTGTGGCAGACTTGATATATTGGCCTTTAATTGTGCGACCGGTAGCAAGGGCCACTGTGTAGAGTGCAAAGGTTGCGACGCGGCGTTCGTGAAGGAAGTCAGGGCCATTCATTAAATAGTCGTCGCGCAGCTTCATATCATAGCAAAACTTGAGGAAATGGAGTCGGCGGGAACGAAGTGTCCCAGATTTGCGGGGATCGTCGGTGGCGCCTGCTTTGGATTGGAGAATAGACAGGAGCGCAGGACGGAGCAAAGTTCGGGACTCGGCTGGAAATAATCGTAGTTTCTCATCCAAGGTAAAGTGCGAAATGTCTGCGAAAGTAATTGATGGTGAGAGAGTTTCAGGTTTGGGCGGGAAATAAAATCAGCAGCAAAGTTGTCATCACCAGGGATATGATCAGAAAGAGCAGTCAGAGGGGAGCGTTTGAGGAGCTGACCATGCAAGTCGACCAAAAGGCGTGCAAAAGGGCTGTTGGTGCGGGCGTCATTCATTCATTTCTCAGTTGGAGTGTTGTCAGTGCGGTTGAGCAGAACTGGGAATTGGGAAAATCCGTTTGGGAATTTGTGGATGGGCATGGGAAGTTCCTTCAAAGCGGACAACCGTGGCAACTTCCTGGAGAAAGGCTACCAAGAACTCAAGGCTGTTGATGTGGACGTAGTTGGGGTTGCTGGCTTTCAGTTTTATACCAGCAACAATATCTGGGCTCCAAACTGTGCGGAACCAAAATAGAAGTTCGTCGGAATAGGCGCCTCCTCCAAGAAAGCTAGCATCTCCGTACGACATGAAATGGGGGTCTCTTGTTAGAATAAAGCAAAATGTGCTCTATCGTGAGTGCCTTTAGCGCTCAGAACAAACTCTCTGCAATCTAAATTCGTAATCGATTGTACAACACTTTCACGACAATAGTTCTCCTGTGTCTAGGTATACTTTGAGTGAAATTGTTCCTAGTGCCTTTAGCGCTCAGAACAAACTCTCTGCAATCTAAATTCGTAATCGATTGTACAACACTTTCACGACAATAGTTCTCCTGTGTCTAGGTATACTTTGAGTGAAATTGTTCCTATTTGATTAATGTTTGGCTTGAATTGATGATTCAATCACAAAAGTAAGTTCAACGATTTTCCTTTGGAAAATCCCTTGTTTACAGAACTTGATTTGACCTCTACAACGATTCTGTGTTGGATACAGTACTTTGGGACATATTGTATTATTCCCTACTGCATTGTACACAACATCGATATCTCACTTGTATAGGGTCATTCCCTTTTTGTGTGGATGTAGTTTGTCCGACAGACTTGCGTCCGGCATACTTGCGGCGAATCCCGACATCACGATCAAAGTCCGATCGTACGTGTCGAAAACTTCGTACTTGAATAGTTTCTTTTTGGAACGTAAAAACTCATATTTCGTCATATCCCAACAGTGTAGGGCTCAAGTTTATTGGGAACGTTTTCATGGCGCTCCACTTCAGCAATGGTGGCATGAATATCGGGTGACATTTTGGTGTCGCTCGGGTTGTTGTATCGGGGATCACGACCGGTGAAAAGGCAGATAAAAGATGCTGCCGCATGGAGGTACTGCTTGATTGTGGCAGACTTGATATATTGGCCTTTAATTGTGCGACCGGTAGCAAGGGCCACTGTGTAGAGTGCAAAGGTTGCGACGCGGCGTTCGTGAAGGAAGTCAGGGCCATTCATTAAATAGTCGTCGCGCAGCTTCATATCATAGCAAAACTTGAGGAAATGGAGTCGGCGGGAACGAAGTGTCCCAGATTTGCGGGGATCGTCGGTGGCGCCTGCTTTGGATTGGAGAATAGACAGGAGCGCAGGACGGAGCAAAGTTCGGGACTCGGCTGGAAATAATCGTAGTTTCTCATCCAAGGTAAAGTGCGAAATGTCTGCGAAAGTAATTGATGGTGAGAGAGTTTCAGGTTTGGGCGGGAAATAAAATCAGCAGCAAAGTTGTCATCACCAGGGATATGATCAGAAAGAGCAGTCAGAGGGGAGCGTTTGAGGAGCTGACCATGCAAGTCGACCAAAAGGCGTGCAAAAGGGCTGTTGGTGCGGGCGTCATTCATTCATTTCTCAGTTGGAGTGTTGTCAGTGCGGTTGAGCAGAACTGGGAATTGGGAAAATCCGTTTGGGAATTTGTGGATGGGCATGGGAAGTTCCTTCAAAGCGGACAACCGTGGCAACTTCCTGGAGAAAGGCTACCAAGAACTCAAGGCTGTTGATGTGGACGTAGTTGGGGTTGCTGGCTTTCAGTTTTATACCAGCAACAATATCTGGGCTCCAAACTGTGCGGAACCAAAATAGAAGTTCGTCGGAATAGGCGCCTCCTCCAAGAAAGCTAGCATCTCCGTACGACATGAAATGGGGGTCTCTTGTTAGAATAAAGCAAAATGTGCTCTATCGTGAGTGCCTTTAGCGCTCAGAACAAACTCTCTGCAATCTAAATTCGTAATCGATTGTACAACACTTTCACGACAATAGTTCTCCTGTGTCTAGGTATACTTTGAGTGAAATTGTTCCTAGTGCCTTTAGCGCTCAGAACAAACTCTCTGCAATCTAAATTCGTAATCGATTGTACAACACTTTCACGACAATAGTTCTCCTGTGTCTAGGTATACTTTGAGTGAAATTGTTCCTATTTGATTAATGTTTGGCTTGAATTGATGATTCAATCACAAAAGTAAGTTCAACGATTTTCCTTTGGAAAATCCCTTGTTTACAGAACTTGATTTGACCTCTACAACGATTCTGTGTTGGATACAGTACTTTGGGACATATTGTATTATTCCCTACTGCATTGTACACAACATCGATATCTCACTTGTATAGGGTCATTCCCTTTTTGTGTGGATGTAGTTTGTCCGACAGACTTGCGTCCGGCATACTTGCGGCGAATCCCGACATCACGATCAAAGTCCGATCGTACGTGTCGAAAACTTCGTACTTGAATAGTTTCTTTTTGGAACGTAAAAACTCATATTTCGTCATATCCCAACAGTGTAGGGCTCAAGTTTATTGGGAACGTTTTCATGGCGCTCCACTTCAGCAATGGTGGCATGAATATCGGGTGACATTTTGGTGTCGCTCGGGTTGTTGTATCGGGGATCACGACCGGTGAAAAGGCAGATAAAAGATGCTGCCGCATGGAGGTACTGCTTGATTGTGGCAGACTTGATGTATTGGCCTTTAATTGTGCGACCGGTAGCAAGTGCCACTGTGTAGAGTGCAAAGGTTGCGACGCGGCGTTCGTGAGGGAAGTCAGGGCCATTCATTAAATAGTCGTCGCGCAGGTTCATATCATAGCAAAACTTGAGGAAATGGAGTCGGCGGGAACGAAGTGTCCCAGATTTGCGGGGATCGTCGGTGGCGCCTGCTTTGGATTGGAGAATAGACAGGAGCGCAGGACGGAGCAAAGTTCGGGACTCGGCTGGAAATAATCGTAGTTTCTCATCCAAGGTAAAGTGCGAAATGTCTGCGAAAGTAATTGATGGTGAGAGAGTTTCAGGTTTGGGCGGGAAATAAAATCAGCAGCAAAGTTGTTATCACCAGGGATATGATCAGAAAGAGCAGTCAGAGGGGAGCGTTTGAGGAGCTGACCATGCAAGTCGACCAAAAGGCGAGCAAAAGGGCTGTTTGTGCGGGCGTCATTCATCCATTTCTCAGTGGGTGTGTTGTCAGTGCGGTTGAGCAGAACTGGGAATTGCGAAAATCCGTTGGGGAATTTGTGGGCCAGGCCTGGATGGGCATGGGAAGTTCCTTCAAGGCGGACAACCGTGGCAACTTCCTGGAGAAAGGCTACCAAGAACTCAAGGCTGTTGATGTGGACGTAGTTGGGGTTGCTGGCTTTCAGTTTTGTACCAGCAACAATATCGGGGCTCCAAACGATGCGGAACCAAAAGAGAAGTTCGTCAGAATAGGCGCCTCCTCCAAGGAAGCTAGCGTCTCCGTACAACGTGAAATGGGGATCTCTAGGGATCATTTGAGGAATGTAGATTTCCCATGTCTCTGTTTCGAGGCTGTACTTGATGGCTCGGAGTTCGCGAAGCACAGGTGCGTCAAGGCGGAATCGTTTGTTGGCGTTCCATAGGAAAGTAGCTGCTTCCTTGCCGATAAGGGAAGCAAGGCGGTAGCGGAGGGATGGAGGGAGTTGGTCGGAGATGATTTGGACTTTGTCGTTGCGTTTCATGTAGTGTTTGATGGATTGGTGGCGGGATCGGAGAAATTGACTCAGGACACGTTGCAAGTTGAAGTAGGAACAACGCATCCATCGACAGACGGTGGTTGCAGTTGAAACGTGCCCTAGAAGAATCGCGATATCGCGAAGGGACAGTGACGGATTCGCCAGTGTTTCTGAAAGGAGTTTGAGGAGGCGGTCCCGTTTGATGGAAGGTAAACGTACTGTCATTCTTCTCGAGTTGATGAGCCATCCGACTGTTTTGCGTTCGTGGGAAAAAGTGTTGGCAAATTTTTCCCAAGATATGCAATCGCGGATCCCGTTGGATGGGTTGGGGAATCCTAATAGGATGTAGAGGGCAAGGATGCTGGCTGAAATGGTTTGGCGTAAGAATAGGGCCACGTCAGCGTAGAGGCAATCGTCAACATGGTGATCAAAGGTCGGGGACTTGCGGGATCCGTCTGCCTTTAAAACCCCTTGATTCTTAGAGTCGGGCTCGGCAGGAGTGAAAGCGGCAATGTCTGATGGCGTTGGAAGGGGAGCAAGGGATAGCTTGGGGAGGTATTTTGCGACTCGTGGGATGGTGGTTACTGCAGCATACCAAAGGGATTGGGCAAGCTGCTGGCGGACCATGGCGACGACTTCCCATTGGGCTGGGCTGGTGTTGTCGCCAAATGAGAGACCCGTACAGAAGAAAAGGAAACCAAATAGCATGAACATGTGCATGCCAACAACATTTGGGTTCCATTTGACATGGCGGAAGGCGCCAGAGACATCATCGTCGCAAATGTAGATTTCTTCTTGTGGGTAGGTGATGCGAAGGTTGTAGATCCAGATCAAGAAGTTGGGAAATGACCTCGGGAAGCAGATTTCCGGTTCAGTTTCTTTAGAAGTGAAATCGTTAACTGCCATGGCTGTCAGGGAAGGATGGTGGGTGGCATCAAAGATGATACGGGGTTTGCGATATTCGTGACATGCATCAACCAACCCGAGGGGAGTAGTGTGGGCGTCTCGGATGTATGGAAGTAGGGCTGGGTTGGCTGCCAGAAGGTAGTTGCGGAGGATGTCTTTTTCGACTGCGCTTTGTGTTTTGCTCATGTCGTCGTAAACCGTCTTGTGATTACCGTAGGCAATGAAGGTGCGCAGGTTCTCATCGGTTGATTCCGCATTGACGTAATTGGGGGCGCCATCGAGGAAGATGCGTTTGAGCTGGGTGATGAGGAAGGGGTCAACATTGGCTTCACGGAGAATGGGTTCGAGGGTGGGCCAGTCGCGATGGGCACCAGTGTGGATGTTGCCAACAAAGCGGACTGCGGTTGGGATGCTGAGGTCGTAGTGGAGTAAGCATGCGGTGAACATGCGGCTCCATCGATGCATGGCAACGCTGGGGGTCAGTTGTGGTGGTATGGGTTGTTGGAGGGGTCGGAAGTCCACAAAGCGGTGTTCTTGGATGAGAAGGGAGAGGAGATGGATGGATGGGCACACGTGGAAGAGGGTTGCAAGGTCGGTCTGGCTCAGGTAGCGGCTCTTCAGCAAAAATATCCAGGTATGTTCAAACTTATGCTCTGTACTGAATCACCTGTCCACGCTGTCCTTACCATGCGGAGAATTGACGGCAAGAAAAACCGGGGATGGGAGTTTGGTGGCTGCCCAGGTCTCGCGGTCGCGTTTGGTCATGGATGGGGTAGACGAACGACCTTGGACGGAGACTTCAAGGATCTCTCCAAATTTTTCTTGCTCTGCGTCAGTGAATTGGTAGTACTGGGAATCGGGAGGCAGGGCGGACCGGTGGTGTGCTGAGGGCGGTGCCAAAGGTTGGCTTGGTGGAGGGGTGGTGGTTGAAATGCGGGGCAGGTTGGGTTGGTGCGACATTGGTGGCTGGGTCGGTTGGTAAACGAGGCTGCTTGGGTGAGGGATGATGCATGTAGAGCACTCAGGGACTTGGAGTGGGTGTGGGAGGAATGCACAGAAAGGAAGTGGAAAGTAAGTCACTGACGGGTTGAATGGTATTTAAGTAATGGAGTTGGTGGAACTAACCATGAGGCTTTGGGGCCAAACGGGTCACCCCAGGGGTTTTTTCAATGAATTTTTCAAATGCCTGGGTGTCGGCAGATCCCATAGTTGCTGCAAACTGTTTGGTGTAGTGGATATTGTGGCAGCGGGGGCGGTTGCAATGGTAGTTGGCAAATAGGAAATGGGAACAGAAGGCTGCCTGTTTGCCGGTAATGGGGTGTTTACATTTGAAAGGGGCAATTGGAAGTCGGCCTGGGCCGTCGTACGTCAGGTATCCGGGATGAGTTCCTTGAGGTGGGTGCTTTGCGCGTTTGGTTGGGTCAGGCCGTTCACGGGAATTGGGGCTCTCACGTTTGGGAGCTGGGGTTGGTTTTCCAGTGAGAATAGCATGCAGGTTGGGGCATGTGCCGTACGGGCCAAGGTTGCCCATACTGATGGAGAGATTGATGTGGCTGATGGCTTGTGTGACTCCACTGAAAGCGTTCAGGAACGTGTCTGCCATGATCGGTTGGCCATTACAAAGTTTACTTTGAGTCGTTTTGTTTTTTGCGGCTCCCACAACAATCTGCAAGATCTGGTTCATTTCGAGGAGGAGACACAATGGGAGGTGGGGGACTGCGGCATTGTAACGGATCCAATCTTTGGCAGCAGGTGTGTGGAGGGCGTTCATGAAATCCTCCAAGAGTGTGACAATTAACGGGGGGTCATCGAAGGTAAAGTCTTTGACACAGTAAGGCAAAGAAATTCGCTAACATCTTGATCAGAGCTTCGACAGAACTGACGTCGCCATGAACAAAGATGTCTGTCTTTTTCGCGGCTTGCTTGGACTGGTCTTCTACCATGGCTTCCTGGCGGATTATATCTCGGCCTTCCGAGAGGAAAGTGGTGTATCTGACATCATTTTTTTTCGGTGGGAACCAAGCTAGGAGGCTGAGAAGTGAGGTGGCTTCGTGGGGGTGCATGGTGAGGGGGCGGACTCCAAAGCTGCATGTTTTGAGGGCAGTGACTGTAGCGTGTTGGAAGAGGGCAATATCGAAGTCGACGTTGCGGTCGTAATTGTTCCGAGTGGTGAGGGTATCGGTGATGTGGGCAAAGGTGTCATGGAGGTGGCGTAGGGCCTCTTTGATCGAACCAATTTCCAAAAAAGTGACAAAGTCGTCAGTGAGGACGGATGGGTGGAATTCGTTGACAGTGGAGCCGTCAAGCTGGATGACCGGTTTGACTCGGCCAAAAATCAGGCTGAAAGAGTCTTTAGCACTGGCTGAAGTATGGGCCAGATCTTTTTCCTTGGTGCTGGCATTAGTGCCTTTGAGAGCATTGGCCATGATCTGGGCAAAAAGTTCGCTATCGAATGGGGCTCCTGCCGGAAGGGGGGCTGCTGGAGCTTCTTGAGTAGTGACATGATTAGTAGATGCTAAAGTAGAGAGGGCCGAGTGCCGTTCGAATTCTTCGAAGAGGGCTTTGTATGTGGGGACTTCAGCTGCAAATGCACTGACGGTGGATGGGGAATATGTCAGATGCGTAGCCAGGTCGCTGTCGGGAAATCGATCGGTTGGGATGGTGTCGGCGCTGAAGATGTGTGGGTGGGAATGGAGGCTTTGGGACTCATTGTGATCGTGAAGGTACTTCATTGCCTCGTACCAGAGCCGGAATTGGGGGTGGAAGGATTCCAGATTGGCTGGTGGGGCGGCGGATAGCGTAAGACTTGGTGGGATGTTGGCACCAGGGTAGATGGGGAAGAACTTTTTGACTTTGGTGAACACGCCGTCCCCACTGGGCCAGTGGATGTCCTCGGGAGGGTCGGTGCTATCGGGGGCCAAGGCAGTGTGGGCAGAGTATTGGGCGTCATGAAGGTGTCGGGCTTGACATTCTCGAGCGAGGTCGTCTCGGGCAATAGATATGACGCTGCTGCCAAGGGCATCTAAAGAAAAAGCAACTGGGGTGGGGGCATCATAGCTATCATTGGCGGATGCCCAGTGCAAATTTGGGCCGACCTGCTTAGCGCAGATGACTTGCCGGAGGGTACCATCGGCACCATCAAAGTAAGCAAATCCGTGCGCTTGGGAGAGGAGGATGTTTTTGCACTCACTAGCGATATGAGTGTGGAAGTAGTTGGAGAGGAGGAGGTTTTCCTTAGTAGTGTCCAGGGGTAGGTCCTTGACGGTTGTCAAAGCAGAACGACCGACCTGGAGGATGGCATCAAGGGTGCGTGGGGGAAAGGTCTGCATTGGTTCAAATGAAATGGCCAATACTGGAGATTTGTGAGTAGGTTATGGAAACGAATAGTGACTATTGGGGGTAATTTTAAATGAAATTTGTTGGTTGGAACGGTCGGTTCTGGGAGGGTGTAGTGCCTAACGGAAGGATGCCTGGTGGAGTAGCCAGGGTGGGCCGTTATGGTGTTACAGACGGAAGGCCGGGTGTAGTCGGAGTGCCGAGATGCGCTGCCAGCCTTTGGCGAAGGCAATTGCGACGGGACTCACACAAGTGGCGCAAAGTGGGTGTGGTGCGGAGGTCTACGGAGGTGGAGTTGGCCGAATTGGGCGGTGTCTCACTCGAACCTGTGCAAAAAATGCTGTTGCCGTACAGGATTGGAACGGGTCCGGGTAAGCGGGAACTCGTCGGTACGGGGGCACGGCGGTGGGTGGTCTGCCAACGGAGGGAAGTGAGCATGGATATGGGGGATGCTGCAGGTTGGGAACTGGCGGTGAGTCCAGGGATAATGGTTGGTTGTTGACTGGCAACAAATGCACAGGCGCATTGAATAGGGTGGTAGCACGGGGCTAAACCACCTGACACCGGGTGTCGGTTCAAATATCAGGAATTTGAGGGTGCCACCGGTGGGCAAGTTAAACAGCGGATGGGCGCTGACGCAACGGTGCATTTTGAGAGGGCTCCTGGGAGGGAGGTTGGCGTTGACGGTCAACAAATGCACAGGCGCATGGAATAGGGTGGTAGCGTGGGGCTAAGCCACCTGACACCGGGTGTCGGTTCAAATATCAGGAATTTGAGGGGTGCCACTGGTGGGCGAGTTAAAACAGCGGATGGGCGCTGACGCAACGGTGCGGTTTAATAGGTCTCCCGAAGGAGCAGTTTTACGTCAAATGCGACGCTCTCGGGTACGCGAGAGGAAATTGGGGTGCCACAGGTTGATCGGGCTCAAATCGGATTTGAGGATGCAACCTGGACAGATTGGGATGGACGACTCCGGGAGTCTGGTAATGAGTAGATGAAAGAAAAAAATTCAGATGATCGTGGTTCCTTAGCATATAATCGTTCTGAACTGTTTCAGATGATCGTGGTTCCTTAGCTCTTCATCGTCTCATCTTGCACTTGGCAAAAAGAATGCTTCTGTTCACGCCTTCGTTTGCCATGCCGATTGTCCCCGAATTTTTCGTCCAATGAATTACCGTTACTTCGCTTAAGCGACTGACGACATGACTGTTGGCGTGAAGACAGGAGTCTTCTCTTGCCAGTCTGTCTACCGTCTTGCCTGATTAATGTTTGTGTAGCTTGGTAGGTGATCGAGCAGAGCAGATTTCTGAAGGAAACAAAAAGTTATTCCTTTCTAGAAACAGAAATTGGTAGGTCATGTGGCAACCAGGATGTTCCACGTTGCCTACTGTGCCTAACATGTAACAAATAGACTCTAGGGATGACGCCAAGAGATGATATTTGTGTTCATGGTGGGCCTCCACAGGAGATCTAGCTAGATAGACAATAGTCCACAGAAATAATTTCTGGATATCTAGCTTGGGCAACCACTCAAAGTATGTGCACAGGCGTTCCCAGTTGCGTTCATGCGATTTCATTGCAGAGCTCAAGTTATTATACATTGGTTCCATTGTCAGGACAGGATCATGAGCATTTGGATCATGAGACAGTGGGCCAGGTTCTGCAGATTTGTCCTTTGAGTTCCACCTTCCATCCTCAGAATGTGTTTTGCAGCGTGGGCTGCGTCGAGGTCCAGAGGGTGACAACTTGTAAGTCAAGTCTATGGGTTGGTCTCGCAGTGGAGTAGACTCAATGACAAAGTTGATAGGCGTTTCATGAACAAATAGAACAGATGGTTGCCTGCCTGACTTGTAAGCTTTAAAATCTGGTGGTCTAAGTTGTGGCACATGGGCAGGATCTAAATCAAATAGACCAGCCATGTTACATTCCAACCAATCAAGATCAGAAGCTTGTCCAGGATGTAGTTTGTACAGACCATTTGTTGGCATGACACAGTGATGAGTCTCAAAGAAACCAATAGCATCATCTAAGGCAGGAGAATCCTTCAGAGTAGTGACTGTTGTATTCCTCTTAGTGAGGATGTCCACTCTATCAAAAGGACTTCGTTCACCTGCAGACCCATCATCCGGTACAGACTTGGCCCATTCATCAACATCAACTCCATCTATGGATATCTCGTAATTTTTGACCTCTTGAGTAGCTTTACGATACTTGGTTGCTGGGACCAGAGCCAACTTGTCTGATTTGGTCTCTTCACTTGTTACAGAAGTCAGAGTATCTGCATCTTCACTCCTCCCCATGCTTGAGTGCTGGAACTGTGAGAGAAAATCGGTAGTAGTCGACATCTCATGTAAGTTGACAGGATGTTGGGGGGATGGAGGTGGTTGCGCAGGAGGCTGATTGTTGGAACCAGCAGCTTCTAACTTTGCAGTGCAAAGAGATTTCTTGCAAGGGAGTGTTGCCAAAGATGCCAGACAAGCTCGGTAGGCAAGAGGATTGGGCTCAAGGTCAACTGATGCAAGATCAGTAGCAACCGACTCAACAAGACAAGGATACTGGACATGATTGTCGTCAAGGGTACCATGGCGGCTTTTGGTATCGGGGTCAACAGTGGGATCGGGCTCAAGGTCGACTGATGAGAGATCAAGGGTACCACGTCCGCGTTTGGTCTTGAGGTCAACAACAGGATCAGGCTCAAGGTCGACTGATGCAAGATCAGTAACAAACGGCTCAACAAGACGATGGTACTGGAAATTTTCCTTGTCAAGGGTACCATATTTGCCTTCAGGCCCGAGGTCAACTGATTCAAGATCAGGGACAAAAGGCTCAGCAAGGCTAGGGTATTGAGGATATTCCTCTTCAGATGTGAGACGTTTGCCATGAGGACTATCCCATTGCCGATTATTGGACAAAGTTGGATAAAGATTAGCATCTAGATTAATGCCCCGATCAAATTCCTCAGCTGGCAAACAGATGGCTTGGAGACAAGAGGCTGTGGGATGGTGTGGCTGCAGAACACGATGAATGCGCTGGAGGCCCTGTATGTATCAAAATCATCAGGGTCAATGAGGACACAGTTAGTCAGAGTGACTGGGTCCTGAAGCACAGTTTCTCGGTGGTAGATGTAGCCACGGATCCCATGGAGATATGCCGTAAGAGGTTTTGGCACATCCCGAAGTACATCAGGTTGAGGGTCACCGTTAGCATCATGTGGCTGACTGACAGGATACTGTAGTCCGTCAATATCAGCATCATCCAGGCCAACAAGGTTGAGGTAACATTTGCAACCATACAAGTCAAGTGCGAGATGAAGAATACTGCCAGCACTGTAGCCAAAGACAGTTTCCAGGATATACACAAGACTAGTCTCAAGATGTCCAGGTTGTAGGACTTGAGAGGGGTTGCGGTTTGTTGTTGAGTTGCCAGCAGTGGACATTGTCACTCGTGTGCCTGATGGTTGAGTACTACTAGTGGCGGGCAGTTGAGTGATGTTGGTGTCAATGTTCAGAGCTTGCAATTCTCTTTGACCGATCCGGACCATGCAGGAGTTGACTCAGAGGAATGAAACTCAGTCGACTCAGTTGATCAGAAGATCAGTTGACTGGTTGGAGTCAGATGATGGTCCAAGTAAAATTGAAACAACACGCCTGAAGGTTTGTTTCCTGATGTGCTGGTGTAGGACTGCAGGATTGGGTGCACAACTGCCCTTTCCAGATCGTTTTACTTCTTGATTCGCACCAAGAAGGTGATCTCTCGCTTTTGAGACTTCCACCACAGAAGCTATTCAATCAAAAGGAGAAATCGGATCCCTTGCTCCGTTGAAAACTCCTGACGACAAGAAGGAGGTGAACAGGGGCAGCACGAGCTGGCAAGACTCAGCGCTTTCTTGAATTGAAATACTACCTTCGCATCACCTACCCACAAGAGGAAATCTACATTTGCGACGATGATGTCTCTGGCGCCTTCCGCCATGTCAAATGGAACCCAAATGTTGTTGGCATGCACATGTTCATGCTATTTGGTTTCCTTTTCTTCTGTACGGGTCTCTCATTTGGCGACAACACCAGCCCAGCCCAATGGGAAGTCGTCGCCATGGTCCGCCAGCAGCTTGCCCAATCCCTTTGGTATGCTGCAGTAACCACCATCCCACGAGTCGCAAAATACCTCCCCAAGCTATCCCTTGCTCCCCTTCCAACGCCATCAGACATTGCCGCTTTCACTCCTGCCGAACCCGACTCTGAGAATCAAGGGGTTTTAAACGCAGACGGATACCGCAAGTAACCGACCTTTGATCACCATGTTGACGATTGCCTATACGCCGACGTGGCCCTATTCTTACACCAAACCATTTCAGCCAGCATCCTTGCCCTATACATCCTATTGGGATTCCCCAACCCATCCAACGGGATCCGCGATTGCATATCTTGGAAAAAATTTGCCAACACTTTTCCCCACAAACGCAAAACAGTTGGATGGCTCATCAACTTGAGAAGAATGACAGTACGTTTACCTTCCATCAAACGGGACCGCCTCCTCAAACTCCTTTCAGAAACACTGGCGAATCCGTCCCTGTCCCTTTGCGATATCGCAATTCTTCTAGGGCACGTTTCAACTGCAACCACAGTCTGTCGATGGATGCGTTGTTCCTACTTCAACTTGCAACGTGTCCTGAGTCAATTTCTCCGATCCCGCCACCAATCCATCAAACACTACATGAAACGCAACGACAAAGTCCAAATCATCTCCGACCAACTCCCTCCATCCCTCCGCTACCGCCTTGCTTCCCTTATCGGAAAGGAAGCAGCTACTTTCCTATGGAACGCCAACAAACAATTCCGCCTTGACGAACCTGTGCTCCACAAACTCCGAGCCATCATGCACAGCCTCGAAACAGAGACATGGGAAATCTACATTCCTCAGATGATCCCTAGAGACCCCCATTTCACGTCGTACGGGGATGCGAGCTTCCTTGGAGGAGGCGCCTATTCTGACAAACTTCTATTTTGGTTCCGCATCGTTTGGAGCCCCGATATTGTTGCTGGTACAAAACTGAAAGCCAGCAACCCCAACTACGTCCACATCAACAGCCTTGAGTTCTTGGTAGCCTTTCTCCAGGACGTTGCCACAGTTGTCCGCCTTGAAGGAACTTCCCATGCCCATCCAGGCCTGGCCCACAAATTCCCCAACGGATTTTCCCAATTCCCAGTTCTGCTCACTGAGAAATGGATGAATGATGCCCGCACCAACAGCCCTTTTGCATGCCTTTTGGTCAACTTGCATGGTCAGCTCCTCAAACGCTCCCCTCTGACTGCTCTTTCTGATCATACCCCTGGTGATAACAACTTTGCTGCTGATTTTATTTCCTGCCCAAACAAAAATATTGGCGACCAAACAACCTTTGACGGCATTCCCATTGCATTTTGTGTCAACGATGTAACCTGTTTTGACAAGTTCAAACGCAAAGTATCCATTTCCGACTTCCTTCAGAATCCAGACCTTGTTTGGCGCATAAAAACGCGTTTCTCCCATCAGAAGAATGGTAACCATGGGGAAGAAAAACTTTTTATTCGCAGCGAAAAGTCCCCACTCCGTTGCTACATCCGTCGGATGCAGTCCATCCTTTCCCGGTTTGACCGATTAATCGGCATCACCAAAACCAATGTCCCCCTTGCAGTATACCAAGATGGCGCCTGCGTCCTCTTCCTTCATGATGCAGAAATCACCCGTGTCATGCGCCATGTTGCTTGTTCGCTCTACAACCTAGACCCCAAAAAAGATAAGATCCAGTATTCTTCCCACTCTATCCAAGTTGGCGCCTGTGTCCTCCTCCACACCTCCGGAGCAACCACTGACCAGATCAAGTTCCTCCTCCGATGGAAATCCCATGCCTTCATGGCATGTTGCCCATCTGTGCATGTAACTAAATGATGCAATCACCATGATCGATGCAACTACATTTCTTATATAACTACCTTGCTACCTTCCGCAACTTTTCTACTCCCTTTTATATGATGCACCAGCCATCCACAATTTTCTTTTTTTCCTTTTCTTTTTTCCCACTCCATGCACTCGCTAGTGTATTGGCCCTTTCTTCCGTTTCCTCCAGAAGCGATCGCATACCATTCCTTGGCCTGATTTATCTCTTCTGCACCAAATGCTCGGTACCATCCAGGTCCCAACTTTGTGTCACGTTTGCATCCATTGAGTCGAATCTTCGATTCCCGTTTCCAAATCCGGTCCCTAATTCTAGTTACCAAGCTTACGATGCCAAACCTACATCTCTTACTTACGTATGGAGGACTGGCATAATCTTGTTTGGTACAAATTCGTAGTATGCAATCATCCTAGGCCAATCACGCTAGATATCGAGTCATGAAGTGGAGGCGGCGCCTGGTAATCCGTAGGATTATGAAAATTCGTGAATTATTTGATGTGTCTGTCCTTCCACTCCGATTTGGTTCATCAACTGAGCGCTTGTTTCACAGTACAAGTGATCCACGCTGTAGAATGCCGTTGCAGCTATCAAAGCGCAGAGGCCTATCGGTCGTTCTCTTCACGATAGCGATTTATAGGTTATACAAACAAGTGAAGTTTCTAGTTGAAGTGAACGGGGGAAACGAGCCAGATTGGTGGAGTCATGTAGATGAGTCATCTCACAGAAACGGAAAGCACATTGCAATTGTCGGGGGAGCCGGTTTCACCGGATCCTATTTGAAACAATTCCTGAGGCACCGCAGAAACGACGTCACAGTCTTTGATCCTTGTTCTGACAACAAGGATATTCAATCAATTGCAAAGCACAGCTCTGAGATGTCGAAGGCGGATGTTCGACAATATGAGACCATAATATTTCTCGGGGGATGCTCTGACCCAAGATCATGCGCAAGACTTGACGAAAAGGAACTAGAAAAACTCCAAGTACAAGACTTAGTTGAATTTGTTCACAAAATGAACCCTTCGCAACACCTGCTCACAGTGTCGACTGGAGCTATACTGGAAGGGTACAAAGACGCCAAGGAAACAACGATTCCGATTAACTATGATCGCCTAGATTCGTTCGCGAAGAGCTTGCATGATCGTGAGAATGCTCTTGCTTCGCTACATAGTCACGAAATTCCGAAAATAACAGTTCTTCGATTGGGGTCGGTTGTCGGCGTCGCGCCCCACCAGCCAAAAGACCTCCTTATACGTACTCTTTTCTGGGAAGCATACACGAGAGGAACGCTAGAGCTACAGAAATTCAATAGGCTGCAATCATTTTTATGGCTGGAAGATCTCGGTCGGGCTGTTGAGAAAGTAATTCATACTTCGTTCGATCCTTATAGTTTCCGTGGCAACATTGCAGATGGTTTCTCGTTGTGGCACCTTTCTTCTTTCCATGCTCGTGATTTAAAAATCGCGACAACTATCGCATCAATCACGGGCGCAAAGCTGGATGTACGAGGTGTTGTGAACCAGTCCAGTCTATGGGAAACAATTTTCGGTTCTGAGGGGTACTCGTTAAGCAGTCAAGCTTTTCGACATGTTTTCAATTTTAGTTTTGAGGGTACACTTGATAAAGTACTGCTAGAATTTGATAGCCATGTTCCAAGAAGTATTCACACCGACGGCCCAGTGAATTTTTCCTCTGCGAAAGATCTAACACGAGATGACTTATTTCTGCGTTGGATTGGCGCTGAAGTTGAGAAAAGGATATTACTTGGTTCCAACATCACTTTTTTTCTTGGCATGGATGAAACAGAGAAAACAAAACAAAATTTTCTGCAGATAGTCAAAAGACTGAACGTCTCAAACCGCCTTCTTTTTGATTTCCTTTTCCATCAGAAATACCGCCAAAACTCGGTTTTCTGGTTGTTGTTTCCATTCTCAAAGGGCATCAACCATGGTGAGATTAGCAACTACCTACCACTTACCATTCTTGTCTTTTCAAAGAAGCAGGTGGAAGAAGTAGCTCTGATGCTATTAGGTTCCAACAATACGCTAGATGGAATTGTGCACTTCATAGTTGTGCAACCTACGCCTGAGCTTGTAAGACTCCAAGCTGCGACGGGGGATCAGACAGTAATTAAAAGCTTACACTATCATCCAACCCCAATACCAAATCCAATGCGGGATAATAACCGCAAGAAAGTAAAGCTTTACTGTCACATAAGAAATGAGAATATGATGATCCCATTTTACATCATTCAACATGCCCACATGTTTGACTCAGCAACCTTTCTTGACTTCCTTAGTGATGATGAGACTTTGAAGCTAATCGAAGAATATGCGCCTAATTCATGGAAAATTGTAAACTCAACAACCGGACTTGTCTTTGATATAGTGAAGACAGACAGGCAGCTGCAGGACCTTGAAAAAAACAATAGTGATTCATGGGCAGTTGTTCTGAACGTACCTGAACTGCTTGTACATCCTTCTCTACGTTTAGAACTTTGGCGCTTAAACCAAGACAAGCCAGGTATGCAGATTCTTCAGCTTAGAAGGTTCACTATCGTCGGAGACGATAAGCTACCTCTTGAATATTTCAGATCGCTTCCAGAACAAAGGCATATATTCAATGAAGTGTTCTCCAATCGATACCTTCACTATGGCGCAAAATCCACTTATGCTTACAAGACCGGTCGGCACCGTCTTGTCTTGATCAATGGAACAAAATGTGTGCCAAAATGTTTCTTTCCTACCTACCTGGGAGGGTTTGTGATGGTATATGAATGGAGTCCATGGCCAGAAATTGCAGCTCGTAAATTAGCCGTTGGCAACAATTTTCCAAAGGAAGATGTTGATAATCGACGAGGTTTTCACCATACCAAAAGAATAAAGGGAGGAATGAAATTCCTGGAAGAAGAACGTGGACAGCAATTACTTGGCTCCCTCCATAGTCTGTGTGATCCTGATGGCGATACACGATTTTTGAATTACCGAAATATCTTCACTACAGAATTTCAAAATATATGCTGAGAGGATTTGGTTGGCAATCAAGTACACGTATTTACAAGATTAGTCTGCAATCCTGGAATCAAATCAATTGTAAACATTATTCTCACAAAAGTGCCAAAGAGAGAGAGAGCAAGGTACTCAGCTTCTGTAGTACCCAAGTCAATAGTTGTTTGCATCTTTGAAGCCCACATGATCAGTGTATCTCCAGGCTCACAGTCCTGATCAAAGGCTTCTTTGAAGTAACCTTGTTTGGTATCATCCACTCCTGCAATTTGATCGCCATCTTGAAATGTCTCCAAATCTCGCTTCTTCTCAAAGAACTTGACAGAAGTAACACCTTTGGCAGCAGCCCAAGCTTCAACACGCTGGATTACTTGGTCCGTAAAGGGTAGTGTGAAGACCTTGGGTTGAGAAATCATCTTCTTAGTATTCAGGTTGAGCACTCGGCGCCCTGTACTTTGTCCCTTTTTAGGTTCAATCTAAATCGCTTTGATACTTCGGGGTTCCATCAAATCGCTGGAATCTGTCCCAATTGCATGAAATACTGTCCAAGTTCAGCAACCATGTCGCTCTTGTAGTTGATATTGACATTATCAATGAGTTGCTGCGGACTGAAATGTGATGAGATACTGTCTTTCTGGGGAAAGACATTCAATAGCTCAGCGGCTCAACGTCCAAGACATTCAGTGATCACTTTTGGAACCACTTTGTAGGGTAATTGTGCAAGAGCTACTCTGGCTCTTTCTTTCAGCTTCCGATTGTTCTTGATGTAAATTTGTTTTGTTGCCTTTTGTGATTGAATGTTAGAATAAAGCAAAATGTGCTCTATTGTGAGTGCCTTTAGCGCTCAGAACAAACTCTCTGCAATCTAAATTTGTAATCGACTATAGAACACTTTCACAACAATAGTTCTCCTGTGTCTAGGTATACTTTGAGTGAAATTGTTCCTATTTTATTAATATTTGGCTTGAATTGATGATTCGATCACAAAAGTAAGTTCAACGATTTTCCCTTGGAAAATCCCTTGTTTACAGAACTTGATTCGACCTCTACGACAATTCTGTGCTGGATGCAGTACTTTGGGACATCTTGCATTATTCCCTACTGCATTGTACACAACATCGATATCTCACTTGTATAGGGTCATTCCCTTTTTGTGTGGATGTAGATTGTCCGACAGACTTGCGTCCGGCATACTTGCGTCAAATCCAGACATCATGATCAAAATCCGATCGTACCTGTCAAAAACTTTGTACTTGAATAATTTCTTTTCCAAACGTAAAAACTCATATTTCGTCATATCCCAACAAGCAGAATTAAGTTCTGTAAACAAGGGATCTTCCTGATGGAAATTAGCCAAACATTAATCAATTAGGAAAAATTCACTCAAAGTATACCTAACACAGGAGAACTATTGTTGTGAAAGTGTTGTACATTCGATTATGAATTTAGATTGCAGAGAGTTTGTTCTGAGCGCTAAAAGCAAGTGTTCTACACTTGATTACAAATTTAGATTGCAGAGAGTTTCTTTTGTGTGCTAACGGCACTCATGATAGACAATCTGCTTATTTCTAACATTCAATCACAAAAGGCAACAAAACAAAAGTACATCAAGAACAGCACTGCCTTATCTACAAAGGAGTGGGTGATTTCTTGACAATGGGACGTTCTTCATCCGGTGGTGGAAAAGGATGTGTGACTCCTCAGAAAGTCAAGAGCAATCCAAGTTCAACGGTTGCGAAACATCTATTTTCAACGAAAGATGAAAACAATGGGAAGGCGAGATCGTCGTACAAAAATGCCAAAGAAAGAGTGATTGGCTATATCCAAGCTTCTGGATGAAATGCTCCAAGGACATGGTGAAATCGATTTGAGATGGAAAGTGGATTGACTTCAATGCAATTGCTCCAACATTGAATGCACCAACTCAAACTGAAGCTGTTGCAAGAGAAACAGAGATGGCCCAAAACAAGATTCTCTATTCTGCAAAACTGACCATTCATGTATGAACATAGCAGCGTCTTTGAGACGAACAAGCAAAATGTTGAGTCAAGCATTATGACCCCGATCCACCAATTTCCCACCCTTTCCACCCAAATTTTGGCATTTTCCACAAAAAATAGCACCATAGAGATCCAAAATGATCTTTTTCAGAAGACGTCGCATAACAACGCCGATTGGACAGATAGAAGCCCATTGGGCTGAGGATACCAGCCCTATGTTTGAAACTAATTTGCGCCAATTTTTGACCGAGGGAGGATGAAATTCATGACTCGTCATCATCATTCACGATGGCAGCGCGACATGGAAAGAGGAACGCCAAGGAGACACCTCCACGGTCCCACCACAAGAAGAAAAGAGTGTACCTTTGCACCCATGCAAGTGGAAAGCAGTGGTGTACGGCCTGTGACTCGTGTAAACGTTGTAAAGCTCCTCCTCGGCCTGATTTGCCAAAAGACAAACAATGCCAAGCCCACACTGATGCTACATCTTCAATCAACGGCCTCAAATACTGCATGCCTACTGTCTCACCACACAAAAGCGGCCGCTCAAAAAGGACAAACTACGATGACACCGTCGGGAAATCCAACAGAACACAGCAGAAGACGCTCAAGTCAAAGCTGACAAAAAACTCCAAGCTGAATTGGCGGCAATCAAGAGCAAAATGAAGGTGGAGAATGCCAAAACGGTCCAATGTATCGAAGAAGAAGCAGAGGCAGAGGCTCTGAAATTATTGATCCAGACAAATGGCAAAGACGTGGAGCTTCCTGCCAATTTTTCATTGAATCATTGAAGCTCAGAGCAGAGATTTTCAATTCCAAAGAAAAGGTGAAGATCGTGGCCGCGGCTCTGGAGGGTCTAATGGAGAAAAAATCACTGCAGCAGGCAATAAGTGAACTCAATTAAAATGGATATTTGGAAGAGGCCGCTGCCGACACGACAAGTCGACCATGGCGTTGCGGAAAATTAGTATTTGGTAGACTGGTCCGTGCTATTGGAACTCTAATTACTCCAACTTCTGCCACATTTCTTCAGTCTGAAGTCCTTTGTAGCACATGTGTTGGCGGCAAGAATGATAAAGCCCTTAAAGTACAACAAGATCTTGTCAAGCTATGTGTTATGGGTGAAAATCTATCAAGCCGATTGCAGATAGCATCCTGACCATGCACTATACCAACAAGGAGATTGCTGCAATGGTGAAGGAAACATCAGTTGAACTTGCAGCCAAAGGAACTTCAGCAAGAATTTGTGCGCACACCGGTATTTTCCGTATGTCAAACTCTTTGCGCACCTCCATGCGCACTTCCGTTGAGATCGTCTTCAATCACATCAATTCTTCTTTCCACCAACAATGGTATGCCTTCCGGCCAAGGAAATCATCACCCTTAGGAGGAAAACTCTTGCATTTTGGAAGCGGCCTTTATTGTGACCGTATCTATCTTGTTTGTATGAGGTAAAGTGGACGAGTTTGCTCCTTTGACCTCTGAAATCACTGCAAAAGCCACACAAACGAGGTCTGAAATTCGGTTTTTGCATGGATTTGGGACCCCACGCAGTCGCAAGGCAAAACTTCTTTTCTATGAAGCAAGGAACAACCGAAAACTTGATGCATTTCAAGGAAGGATTCTTGAGTCAGGCGGAAGTCCTGCAAGATCTACATGGTGTTGCCTGGTTCCAAAATGTTGCAGTCAAGATTAAAGTGTACGCTGCTATTGCTAGCACCGATAAGATATGAGATTTTATGTTCAAAGAAAAACTATTCAAGTACAAAGTTTTGACACGTACAAACGGACTTTGATCGTAATATCAGGATTTGACGCAAGTCTGCTGGACAATCTATATCCACATGAAAAGGGAATGACCCTCTACAAATGGGATATCGATGTTGTGTACAATGCATTAGGGAATTAGGGAATAATACAAAACAAATATACGTCAAGAACAGCACTGCCTTATCTACAGAGGAGTGAGTGATTTGTTGACAAACATCAGGCCATGGATATCAAGCTTTGAGTTGAAGCCGGTTTCACGACTGCTCTTGAAGATCCAATCAAACTCTTTAAACGTATTGACCAATTCATGAAGAAGAGTGCAGATCCTGTGCATGACTTCTTGGATTTCTGGGAAGCCATCCAAAAGGTCTTTGCCATGAAGCAAGGAACCAACAAAAACTTGATGCATTTCAAGGAACAATTCTTGAGACAGGCTGAAGTCCTGCAAGATCTATATGGTGTTGCCTGCAACAGGATTCCTATGCAACTGCAATCAAACAAGAACAACTCCTCTGATGCTGGATCTTCAGACAAACTATTGCATGGAAGTGGATTACTATCCAAATACAATCCGCAAAGCACAAGATATATTGAAGATTCACATGGATGTGCTCAAAAATCCGGGAGTGACCCTCTACCAAGGAAAAGACCAACCTAATAAAGGTGAAGGTAAAGGGAAACCAAAGGATGGACAAAAGAAGGCAGCATGTTATGTATGTGGGAACAAAGTCTCCAAAATGCCCAGACAGACTGCTACCAAAGATCCAACGGAAGAATCAGGATCAATATGTTGATTATGGGAAGAAGCTCAATCTGAATCAGATTGGAGCAACTGTCCTGCTACAATTCCAGCTATAGTTCCTGGAGCTTCTGCATACACAAGTGGAGCATCAAGTCTTGCGGGAAGCGTTAACAATAATAATAATAACTGAAACATTAATCGATTAAATGCTAGGTAGCGCATACGATTGCCGGTGGGATGTTCGGCTGTAAAGGTCAAGTCAACAACAAGTTTGAACCATGTGAGGCGTCTGAATAATCAGAAGTTGCTCTAGTCAGAACCAGCTGGTTCAGACTCTACCCGCAGCGTGGCGGGGTGATGTCGGGGCGTTGCTTCCACGAAACGTTGTTCAAGGGGAATGGTCCGCAGGGTGGAAGAAGCGATGAAGAATACGGCGTTGAGGCGCCAGAGCGCGGCGGTAGGCCGTGCGTTCCATCCTCACCAGCTTCAGCCACTCCTCACGGTCTACCAGTGGTTTGTTCAAGACTGTCCGGCGCTTGACCGAAAGCATGCGTTGAACAACCTTAGGTAAGTCAGTGGGACCCATATCAAACTGGTTGTGTATTCCGTCGTTGACCTGTTGGCTGCGCTCTTGTAACTGTACATTGTCCTCCGAGTGTTGTACCGAGTTCCGATGTTCCCACAACTGGAAGCCCAGCAAAATCAACTGATGCGAGAGGCGTGAGGCCCATAAGGTCGGAGAGCGTTGGCTCCCGCGCGACTGCAGATATTCCTCCTGCAATGGGGCCCATTGGCGGGACAATCTTCCTTCCAACAAGCCTTGGTAACCAATGCGTTGCTGGGAGCGGAAGGCGCTGCTCAGTCCACCTGGTACCATTCGAATGGACGGGAGGGATGGATCGCAAACCCCTTTAAGAAGGGAGAGGAGGGCATGTTTGATGGCCGGATCTGTCACTTGAGTGTCCAGCCATAAGTCCAGGGCCACTGTCTGGCGATCCCATTCAGCGCTGGCGGATGGAGCCCTACATCGAGGTACGTGTAGGTGATCTTTGAACTCGCCACAGCATGGGCATGCAGCAGATGTGTCATATCCCCATCGTACCTTAAACTTGCCGACACCGCACATACCCACCACGTGCTTTGTGGTCCAGCGTTGGACGCCCGCGGGGAGAGATCGCATGGCCCGGGCCAGACTGGGCCAGTCGGTTTCCTACTCCGCCTCTGGGGTGACCGTGAGTTTCTCGTGCCACCTCTTGCGGAGGGCGGGAAGCTCAACCAGCTCTTGGATGTAGTCTGGATCCAATCGAGACTGCTTAACGCCTCCGATGTAGAGAGCGGCCAACTCAGTAAAGAAGCGGGCATTGGGTGCAATCAGTTGGTGAGAAGCCTCCAACTGATGGCGGTATGCCACTGCCCAATTATCCACTTCAACATTCCTTTTGGACCACCAAGACAGGGACGAAAAGGACGTAGCACGGTCAAGGTGACCATACACATGACTAGGCTCCCACAATGCTTTGGAGCGCGCAAGGGCCTCGCGGAGGGAAGAGACCAGGTCAAACTGCGCCTGGTGAGGGGAGACTCGATGATCACCAAAGGTATTGAGAAGAGCGGAAAACCCATCACACGCTATCCTGACGCGGGGTTTAGATTGGAGCTTAGGCGCCCACTGTTGGAGCAACCAGTCAACAACCATGAGGCCTGCAAGCAAGCCGATCAGTTCACTCCGATAGGCGCTTTGATCCTGGGGAAGTCCGGGAGTCTGGCACCGGACAATGACGCGGTCCTTCTCCCCTTTTTGTGGGAGTAGTTGGACGGCTGCCGTTCCCAGGGCTCGCTTGTATGATCCGTCGCTTATCACGCAAAGATGACCAGAAAGTAAGGCCTCCACCAGCCGTCCTTCATCACCGACAATCTCAAGTTCCTCGGGGGTCCATCCAAAGTACTCGTCAACCGCTGCTGATGCTGCTTCCCATGCGGTCAATAATGACGGTTGAGGAACTGGTCGCGGAGACTTATGCTCCTATTCAGAGGATCTAATAACCAGAGGGATTTTCCAAATACGCTTTACTTTTGTTCTAAATGATTGATATATTGACGTGATCGCCGCAATTGGAGGCATTTCGGACAGTCGGAATATCCAAAATTGTTGTCAGATAATCAACTCCGTAGCTGTAATGAGAGCCTCAACGCTCTAGCTACCTTTGGAGTATACTGAGCTCAAATCTATGTTGGCTATGGATTGCCTACAATAGGAACAGGTGCCAGTGATGCTGGACTTCTACCTGCAGATGAACAGTCTCACCACTTCCTATTAGATCTTATTCTACTGCTAGTATTCTTGCCAGAAGTCAATCAACAATGATCTCCACAAGCAGGTACAAAAAGTCTCTTCCGGAAGCCACCTGCGTCAGCTCTCACCAGCTGTCGCGGCGTATTGAGCACATAGGCACATGTTCTTCACAAACTAGTCACAGATTCGGATATACCTTCAATACTTATCCATCTCTGTACATCATCGAACCATACTCCTGTCGGTGTTCGATATCACAAATGTCCGACCTCACTGTCCGACATGTTCGACTGTTCTTTTATCCATTAAGATCCCACTTCACCAACACACTCCTGTCATTTTGACAACTCCAGTTGCGATAACAAACCCTTTCTTCATTTGATTTGTAACGTGTATACATGACTAACGACGGTCATATCTAATATTCCTGGTCCCCTTGGATCAATGCTCGAACCTTGCGGAACTTTTCCCCTTGCAGAGGCTTCATCATATAATTTCCCCACATGTCATCAGTTGGCATGTGTTAGATCGTAAGATTTCCTTTCTCAACCTGGTCAGTGACAAATGAATAACAGATGTTCAATGATCGGCTTCTCTTGCCAGCACTTGATCTTCCGTTCTTTTCGAGGAGAATACAGCTCATATTGTCTTGATACAAGATATTCTTCTCAATCGGATAACCTTGTTCTTCCATGAACATGCGTGTCCACAACTCTTGTGTGATCGCATTATCTACTCCGATTAGTTCCGCATGTGTACTGCTGCGGCTGTTTAGCTTTTGTTTCTTGGACATAGCCTGCATAGCTCCACCACCCATGGTCATTACTCCTCCTGTGTGACTCTTGAAATCAGGGTGAACCGCAAAAGATGCATCGACAAACCACTTCATTACCTGAAGGTTGTCAGCGCTCAGCGTGAGATGCCATTTCTTGGTAGAGTGCATGTATGTCATAAGCCTTACGAGTTTATGCCAATCACTCTGATTTGGGTTTTGAACTTGTGACGCCAAAATTGCAACCGTAGGATGCATATCCAGACGCGCACGTTTGGTCAAAAACAAATGTTTCACAACAAACCTGTGAAACTCAGTCTGTTGATCCTTATCCAAAAAATTTCCTTTTCCGACCTCCAGCAAATTATTGCCAGCAGGTGTTTCCTGTTTGTCATCTTCTTTAAACTTAACAGAAAAATTGTCGAGCATTCTTTGAACATAATCGTCCATTCGAATCTTCAACTTTCCTTTCTTCGAATAATCCAATGTCATTCTCAGATAGGTGTGAACTGGTCCCCGTGTGCAAGTCACTTCCTTTAGTCCTCCATATCTCTCATTTATCCATGTAAAGAAATCCTCAAGAAACTCTTTGTTCCATGTGGCTTGCTAGCACATCATCAACATGAAACCTGATAGTCAGTTGCTTTTTGTTGACCATCATATTTGCAATGCACGGATTGTATACATTTTAAACACAGATCGGTACTCTTCCAGTGATGCCCTCAGATTTCGGTACCATAGCAACAAAGCCTGTAACATCCCATAAATAGCACGGAGGATCACAACATAGATCACTCGACATCCATTTTCGATTGCTACAAAATCCTGATACGCTGGATCTAGGTCAATCATATAATCAACCAGCAGTCCAGTAATTTTCATTATTACTCGATCTTCTCCTTCTTCCTGCTTGGGCATCAATGTTTGGGTCTCGTTACCTTTGAATACACACCGCCCTTTGATTGTTACGCCATCATTCTTTTTGACCAGCAGCCCAGTAATTTTCATTATTATTCGATCTTCTCCTTCTTCCTGCTCGGGCATCAATGTTTGGATAAACGCGTTAGGTATATCCATTGACATGACGTTTCTACCTTCATGGGCATCAATTACACCCGTGCAGATAATAGCTTCATGCGAAGCTGTGGGACTTGCAGTGTCCTCACGAGACAACCAATCCCGGGTCTCGTTACCTTTGAATACACAGCGTCCTTTGATTGTTACGCCATCATTCTTTTTGGCCAGTAGCATCATTGCATCTACGGCCTTCTTTCTTTCGGTCGGCTTAGTTTCTCAATACTGATCGGTGTCCAGCAACTGCGCTTGATCAGTTGGTCAAGTTCTTTCATGGCCGCGTCTTTACCTCGCTCCTTGAATATCTTCAGTCCTTTATTCAGATAGTATTGCTGAATGAACGAGACTCCGTCTTGCCCATTGATACCACCGTTGACACCACCATATATCTGTCAAATAACACTAGCGACTACCAACACTTCGTCCGCGTCATATTCGCCTTTGTTTGTGTTCCCGACTTGTTGGAATGCCAAATTGTGCATGCGTTCCCGGATGGAATGCGTGTACTTATGGTTCCTTTGCAACTGTGTCAATTCGTTTCTTGATCGCTTGATATAACGAGACTTGGAGTCTTTTCATTCGTGCCTTTCTTCTCATCGCACGCCTGTTTCTCAAAACGTTTGGCACAGGCGGATTCTTTCTTTGTAGGTATGCCTGCCCAAATCTTGTTTGGTATCTCTCAGTGGGTCTCATTTTTACCCCTGGATTGTGCCTTGGACGAAGTACCCTTTTTGTTCCAATCTCTACACCGTCGTCACTGTAACTTCTAACAATTCCTTTGGTGTCGGACTCATTATCATCTGTGTCCGCGAATCTCACCCCTGCGCGAGCGACACTATCTTCCTCTCCTGATTCAACTGTCACATCTTCTTGTGTGTTGTCATCATCTTCTTCATCAAAGTTGAACAGAACTTCTTCTTTGTCAGGTCTTGCAAGTTCCACTAGCTCAGCTGCCAGTTTGTCTAGCATTTGCTTGGCTTTGTCATCTTCTAGTTCAGACTCGTATTCGTCTTTGTAGTCCATGTCCTCATCGCCGATTATCCATCAGCTCGCCATTACGCCTGGAATAGGTGCGTAATTCCGTCACTCCTTCCAATCTTGCGTCTGCTTCTATAATCTTGATGACTTGGTCCGTCATCGGAAGAACCTTGATCTTCGCATATCGTGCCTCGCACTTTGTGTTCAGATCATAGATACGGTGTCCTTCTAGAATATCGTCGGTGGGTCCCATGTAAACACCTTTGATTGTTCGAGCAGCCATATTATTCTTGGTGTCATGGCCATATCCATGGACATATGCACCAATCTCAGCGACAAATTCTTTAGAGGCATCAACCATGCGTTGATGCATAATCATATGCAGGCTGTAGTACTCAGACAACCCACCTTTTGCCGGATAGTAGTGGGATATTTTTGCGACTCTTGTCATCAGTGCCACAGTCAACATCTTTGGAATCGCCTTGAATGGCATTCGGTGAAAGTGAACCCAAAACAGTGCTTTCAAATGTTGGTTATTTCGTTCCGCTTTTGGAGCATGCTCGCCTCTGCTGGCGTTGTTCATGTGAACTTCAAGTTCATGTTTAACGGGCTCAAATACCGGAGGAATTCTCCATCGCAATAAATCTTTTCCACCGTGAAATCACGTGCATTATAAAGCCAAAAGCATTTATTGATTGTGTCATACAATGCCGTCTTGGATCGTGAGGCCAAGGGTGTGTAGCACTGGTATCTCACACTCCCATCAATGTTCGTGAGTCCAAATGAATTGTTAACAAAAACAAGATCAATGTGCAACACAACACTCAGATTGTGCATTAATAACTCCTTTGGTATTTCTATCCAGTCATCCCGCACTCCTTCAGGTGTGGGACGCTTCATCTTTCCTTTTAGGACCGAAGAACCAGGTCCATATATTTTTTCGGCAATGATTGCATCTTCTTCATTCACATTGCAGTTCCTGAACAGACCAGATCTTACTGCAATACGAAACGCTTGCACTCCTGGTGCACCAGCCATATGATACACTAATCGTGCGCGACTAGCCCGCTCAACTTGTTTATCAGTGAACCCTTCAATATTCTCCCGTACCATCTGTATGCCACAATAAACGCCACATTTATGGCATTCAGTGTGTGCGACACCAAACGCGTCGCAGTTACAATTTCCAAATTCTCTGTATTCACAATCAGAGTATTCGGATCCCTCATCACTTTCTGCCCTACCATCGGGTACAAAAGTGTACAATCCGTTTTGATGCACATAGCGCATTTGTTGTTCCCCCTTTGTAACGATGAAAGAGTTTTCAATATCAGTGTCCATAATGACACGGAATCCGAACTTCACAAGCTCGGATAAACTATTGAGGTTACATTGCGCTTCAGTATCAAGCAAGCAAGTGTGTCCTTTGATAATACTTGATTCAACCTGCTGATGCAGATCACGTTGGCCAGTGTTCGTACCGTAGTTGAACATGTAATCCAGGTCAGACACAGTGCTTGGTTTGGCAAAATCTTTGTTCATTCGTAGGCTGAACGTAGATCCAGATTCAAGATGCACACCACGATCGATATCCCAGTGTTTACTTCCATTGGACTTGAAAGGTTTCTTTGTTGGATATATTAGGATTTTCGAAGTACATATTTGGAGAAAGAAGAAAAAGAGACTACGAGTACATGTGAACGATAGAGAAATGATGTCAACTGATACGACTGAAAATGAAGACTGATGCGACTAAAAATATTGCGCGTGGCGAGTCAGAAAAGACAATTAATTTCTATGGAGATCATCATATTGATGATGTAAGAAAGCAAGATTCAAACAAGAACCAAAGTTGGATACTAATCAAAGTACCAACTACTGTGGAAGGTGAACGGATAAACAGATTGAACTTGCAGCATGTCAGGCTGACGTAGAGAGAATTCTGAGAATTTCCACTGAGCTGGTGAAGAAAGAGTCAAAGTCAAAAGTTGACAGACTGTTCTCACTTTTTATAATATATTGCAAGCAACTAGTGAATTGGTTGATAAAGTAGGATCTCTGATAGATCTATATACTTCTATATACTGTAAGTTCATATACTTGGAAGGCAACAATACCTGGACAGCTAAATCGCAGTCAATTGAACAGGTAGATTGCATGCGACAGTGGATCGCTTACTTCTAACATATATTATAAAAAGGCGCTGAATTAAATTGGGAGTTGATACATTCCTACAACTTAAAAGAATAGGAACTTGCTCATGATGAGTGGACGATTTCAAAGTACTGGACGTGGTTCCAATGGAAGAAATGCTGGACGAGGAAGATCGCAGCAAGGACGAGGTAATGGTCACTACAATGGAAACAAGAGTGGCAATGGTAGCCAAAAAGAGAAGAAGTTTCATCCTCTGACTAGAGGAAACATTCCCGAATTTAGCTTTGATGAAATGAAGAAGACATTGGTGATTAAAATGTCAACAATGAAGATGGATCATATTGATGACATGATCCAGAGTGTACGAACCTTGAGTCTGTATGATATTGAAAGTGTGAAACCAACATTGGTATTGGTGACTAATGACAGCGATCCTGATAAGGAGATCAAGAATGAAGAAAGAAGGACTAACTATTTGGCTGATCAAAAGATTGGAAGGCCAGGAAGAACGCGTTTGATAACAATAAACGCGATGTCTATGGAATGATTATGAAGATGTGCACCGATCATATGGTGGACAAGCTTGAGCGAGAAGCTGACTTTGATAACAAACTGTTCAATGATCCTGTGGAGCTATTGATGCGGATCAAGAAATTTATGACGACTACTGTTGATGCAGAATGGGAATATTTTGGTCTATGCAAAGACAATGAGCAATCTGATTAATTGCCATCAAAAGGAGAAGGAAAACATTGCGAGGTTTTGTAAACGATTTGAAGAAAGGGTGAAGGCATTACAAGCTTTGCTTGGTGATGATTTTTTGGAAAAATTTACTGAGAAGAGTCAGGAATATGATTTATTGGGAAGCGATGCTGAACGATCCCAATACAAGAAGGAATCATGGGAAAGATTCATGGCCAACGGATTACTGTATAATTCCGATAGAGCCAAGTATCAATCAAGAATTGATGAAATGACGGGGCAGTACACGTTGAAACATCTGGATTTCAAACAACGTTGTACATTTCCAACTACTTTGGAAAATGCTGCTGATGTTTCGAACCAACACAAGCACGATAATAGGAAGAAGAATTCGAATGGAGGAAATTCGAATGGACAAGTGAAACAAAACAAGTTAAACAACAATCAAAATGACAGAGCTCAGTTTTCGCAACAATAAACTCGAGCGTGTTTTGTGTGCGGATCAAAAGATCATGTCGCACCTCAATGTGCGGACAAATTGAAGCTGCGGTAACAGTGGAAAAACCCAGACAAATATATGGATTATTCGGACGCGAATGGTCCTGGTAATCGACAAAATATGCAATGTGATGATAATGCAACGCGTGATGATAATGAATTGGGAGATTCAAACACCCAATGGAGCTATGGACGTTCCAACAATGGATCCCATGGAGGACAATTTATTCAACGAGGACATACTGACAATCATCCAAGACAACAAGGGATGATGTTATTTCAACACAACAATAATGGTATCCACTTGGACAGTGGATCTACTTTTCATTTGCAAACCAATGAAGATGACTTTAAAGAAGGAAGTCTACAAGGAAATCATGGAGGATTCCATAATGCCTCTATTGTCAAGGGAAGAGAACTTTATTGAGAAGGAATTGATAAGGTATTTGATTCTGTTTGTAAGCTTGATACACGAGCTAGTGACAACATCAACAGCTTGTCGAATATGGTACAAGATCGATTTGATGTATTCATGGACACAAAGAGAGAGAACAGCTTCTTTGTGACCAGAAACGGGACTACATGGCGATTTGGACATTGCAATGCTTTATATACTCTGGTGGACGAACCTGCTGTGGCAACAGCAATGTTCCATAATCATGCACGTGGAATTGACAATGCTGGAGTAGACCCACGTTTTGATATTGAAATTGAAAGATACAAAGGAATGGCATTCATCCTACAGCGTGATAGGATTAATATGGGAGAACAGATGAATGAATATTAGGATTTATGGAAATGAACAAAATTTGCTCAATGGTGTTATGAACTGGCTAAATACCGAAGATGGGATTTCGATGACTTAGATATCTTTGGTAGATTACCGGATACATTTGCTGAAGATGCAAAACGACAAGGTATTCTAAAAGCTTTTCACGAATGGATGGATGGAAGAGGATTTATATTTGATGAAGTTCCTGCTGACATGGAACTAGATCAAATTCACATAGTACCTAATAATTTAAATGATGATATGGAAGGGTACTGTGCTCGCTCTACAGAGTGTGGAGAAGAACAAAGAGGGTTTCACAAACAAACAAGTGAAACGAGCAAATGTTGCACAAAGTGGCTATCATATGATGGGAGCACCTGGGGCAGAACTATTCAAGTTGGCGATTCGGGGAATTTTTTTTCAAAAATTGTCCAATTACGGAGGAAGATGTTAATATCTCTGAAAAGATAATGGACCGAGCGTTTCAACAATTAAGGGCAAACAAAAGCGACCAACATCAAAGGCGGTGGTTGATGATTGGATCGAAATGCCCAAGGAACTACTGAGACACAATTTGAACCTGGATTTATGCATCGACATTATGTTTATCAACAATGTCGCGTTTTTTGTCAGCATTGACAAAGCGATCAAATTCCGATTCAGTACTGAACTGAAAGATCGGACGAAAGATGCTATTTACAAGTCGATTGACGAAATTTTACGCATTTATAATCATGCGGAATTTCGAATCAAAACTATTTATTGCGACAACGAATTCAAACCGGTATTTGATGACGTGAAAGATAATATGGATGTGACCATGAATTATGCCGCGCCGGGCGAACACGAACCAACTATTGAGCGCAGCAATCAAACATTGAAAGGATTATTCCGAGCACACTATCATCGAATGGTGTTCAAGGCAATTCCCAAGGTTTTGACTATTGCTTTACTCAAGCATGTGACAAAGGTTATTAACTTTTATCCTAATCTACGGCTTCTTGTGCCGTTTTGTCAAGTCTAGCATGCGATGAGTTTGAATTGCATGTTGCGTCAAGAACCACCTCTTGCATGAACTGTGGATGTAAGGGCACATTTGTGACTACACTTTGATATGAAATGATATGATAATGATATGATAATGATATGATAATGATATGATAATGATATGATCATGATATGATCATGATATGATCATGATATGATCATGATATGATCATGATATGATCATGATATGATCATGATATGATCATGATATGATCATGATATGATCATGCGACAAGCTTTGAAGAGTGAAACGGCCCAAAGAACAGGCCCAAGGTATTGAGACTCTAGAAGCTCCTTCGGTTGAGTACAGAACTAGACCTTAGTCATCAGGTCCATGTAAGCACTCTCAAGTGCCTTTCTACAGACATCTATAATTCTCTCTTTAGCTCTGCTGTAAAGGTTGGGTTAGAATTCACACGATATTAATATTATCAAGGCACAGCATGATTTCCCTTCATTGTTCCAAAAAAGACATATCGGTTTTGGTGGCATGTGCACTTATCAAAGGTTGTCGTAGACACGTGCACATCAACTTCAAACTGAAAATATCCATTTTAATTATCTTTGGTGGATAATCTAACATAGACAAAAGTTTGAGAATGAATCACTGGACTCCTTTCATCATACTGACGATGGTTAACGACCGTCACATCAGCATTGCTCCGCAACACCAAGTCTGATCAATTTATCTAACTTGTGTGTGAGTATATATCAATTCAATAATGTCAAATCAAGTTGTTGGCAAAGAGTAGTAGATCTGATTGTGTTAGCTGTCAAATTTACGCTCTACCACACCTGGCCTTTAGTGCTCTTCCTCTTCCCTTCCGCCACACCAATTCAATTTCTGCTTTTGTGTAATTGCCTGCACTGCTCCAGTGCCCATTGTCATCACAGCTCCAGTATGACTTTTGAAGTCTGAATGAACAGCAAATGATGCATTGACATACCATTTAATCATGCGCAAAGCATCAGTGCAATCAAACTAGTTTGTGCCAATCACTCAGATTCGGAGATTGCACCCTTGATGCTAAAATCGATACTGTTGGACTGATGTTCAGATGAGCACGTTTTGATAAAAATAACGATTTGGCAACAAACGAATGGAATACTTCATGTCGTTCCTTCTCAAGCGGTGCTCCTTTACCTTTCTCCAGTAGATTATTTCCAGCTGGTGTCTCCTGAATCTCATTGTCCTTAAATTTGACTGGAAACTCACTCAGCATGCGATCCACATAATCATCCATGCAAATTTTCATTTTTCCTTTCTTCGAAAAATCCAATGTCATACCCAAATAAGTATGAACTTTACCTCTAGTGCATCTGACCTCTTTTAAACCACCATATTTATCATTCACCCATGTGAAAAAATCTTGAAGTACTTGTTGTCCCATGTGACTTGTCAAAACGTCATCAACATGGAACCTGATTGTCAATTGTTTGCCGTTAACCATTTGGTTGGCAATGCAGGGATCATATCAATTAAAAACAAAGCCATACTCCTCTAGAGAAGCCCTCAAAATTCGATACCATAGCAACAATGCCTGCAACATCCCATATATGGCACAAAGGATCACAACATAGATCACCCTCTTACCATTCTCATAAACAACACAATCGCAATAGGTCGGGTCCAAGTCGATCATATATTGGACCATCAGTCCAGTTACCTTCATGATCACCCGATCTTCTCCATCACCTAAATCTGGCATCAAGGTCTGAGTGAATGCATTCGGAATGTCCATTGACATCATGCATCTACCTTTGTGCGCGTCAATCACTCCTGTGCAACAGATACCTTCATGCGATGCGGTCGGGCTAGCTGTGTCCTCTCGAGACAGCCAGTCTCTTGTCTCATTTCCTTTATATACAAAACAACCTTTGATATCACCACTGTTTTTCTCTGCCAGTAACATCATTGCATCGACTGCTTTCCTTTTCTTGGACTCATTCAATTCACCAATACTGGTGGGTGTCCAACAACTTCGTTTGATCAGTTGATCAAGTTCCTTGAGCGCAGCTTCTTTGCCTCGTTCTTTGAAAATCTTCAATCCTTTGTTGAGATAATATTGTTGAATAAATGACACTCCATCCCTTGTGTACACTTCGTCACAAATCTGTTGTATGACACGTGAAATCACCAACGACTCATCCACATTGTAAGTCGCTTTCTTCTCAGTTCCACTCTGCTGGAATATTGAATTATGCGCCCGTTCAGTAATCTTTCTTCCTGCCTCAGTGCTCAACACGTTTTTATCCCAAAACTCTCCTTTCTTTCGTGATTTTACCTTTGACGCGACAGCCTGGTATAATGAGATACGTAATCTCTTCAACCGTGCCTTCTTTCTCATGGCACTCCTCTTTTACAAATTGATTTTGGGCTTATTTTGTTGTAAGTACGTTTGTCCATATCTCGGTCTGTCACTTCAATTCCTATCTGTGGGTCGATACTTGACCCCGTTTGAATAAAATGATTGTCCACTTTGTGTTCCCCTTGTTTTGTCTTTATTTGAATCATCTGTTGTACTCAACATGGGGACTTCTTCAAACCTCACTCCTGAACAAACATCATCTTCTTTGTCAGGATATACTTGCGGATTGTCTTCTGCTTCTTGCAGTTCTTGTATTTCTTCCGCATCAAATTCACCCTCATAGTCATCATCTTCATCTTCAACGTTGAACATTATTTCTTCTTCAATCGGTTGGCTCAATCTATCCAACTCATGGGCTACTTCATCAATCATATCTTTTAATTTGTCATCATCGATATCCATTTCAATATCGTCTTCATTGTCTTCTTCTTGACGTCTCTTAATTCGTTGCAGCATGCGGTCGACAGTTCTATCTGCCCAATCATATTCATGTTGTCTCTTATCCTCAATTTTTCTAGATTCCAATATATCTTTGGCTGCATCCTCGATTAGTTCTTCGAGTTCTTCATCTGTGATTGCATCATTCTTGCGCAAATTCATGTCATTCACTGGTGGAATCTCAATATCTGCAGGTACATAGTCTTCGTCCCACAGTTCATCTGGGTCCACTCCTGCAAGCAGATCAGCATCCAAAATTATTTCTCCATTGTGCCTGGAATAGGTTCGTAAATCTGTAAGGCCTTCCTCAGCAGCATGGACTTCAACCAATTTGATCACTTGATCAGTGATTGGGAGCACCGTAATTTGAGGCCTAGTAACCTCTCTCTTCGTGTTCAAATCATATAGCTTGTGACCCTTTTGCATATTATCAGCTGGTCCCAAGTAAATCGCTTCAATAGTGCGTGACCGATGATCACTGCGAGTATCATGTCCATAACCATGGACATACGACCCAAGTTCAGCAACAAATTCTTTCGAGTAATCAACTTGGCGTCGCAACAAAATCATATGAGGACTGTAATAGGCCAAAATACCCCCTTTGGCGGGATAAAAGTTGGAAGTCTGTGCCATTTGTTTTGCAATAGCTTCAGTAATAATCCTTGGAAGGGCCTTATATGGCATGTGATGGTATTGGACACGGAACAACGCCTTGATATGTTGTTTGTTTCGTTTCGCTGTGGGGTTGTGTTCCCCCCGGCTTGGATAATTCATATCAACATTCATCTCATCTTTAACATCATCAAAAACTGGTCTAAATTCACCATCACAGTAGATAGTCTTGATAGTAAAATCAGCATGGTTGTAGCGGTACAAAAGTTTGGTATCGGATACTACCATCAATTGTAGTCAATCCGAATGTGTTATTGATGAATGCAATATTCAAATGCAAATTCAAATCAATGTTGTGGACCAATAATTCACGTGGGATCTCAACCCAATCATCCCGGACTGCTTTGGGGTAGAACGCTTAGTTTTTCCTTAAAGAACTGAAGCGCTTGGTCCATAAATCTTGTCAGCAATAACAATGTCTTCTTCTCTGATGGGACAATTCTGGAATAAACCTGAGTGTACGGCAACTTTGAATGCTTCAATCCCTGGTGCACCACACATGTGATACCCGGATCTTGCAGCGTTCGCTCGGTCAACTTGTCGTGGGGTGTATCCCTCTATGTTCTTTTTTGCAGTTTGGACACCAGAGTAACGGGAAGTATGTTGACTAGTTGTATTATCGTTGTTGCCATGATACGATTCACCCGACACGAAACCACCGTGGGCTCTGCACGACCTGCAGGCTTCACCCGTCGGTCCAAGTTCCATGCACACATTGCAATGACTCTGCCCCTCATGAGGATCATAAGTATACGACCCATCCTTTTCTCTGTAAATCCATTGATTCCCATCTTTAGAAACAAAAAATGCATTTTCTACATCGGTATCCATCACCATACGATACCCTTCTTTTACCAATAGAGACGCACTGTCCACATCACAGATGGCATCAGCGTCATACTTGCACATATTATCCATGTGCTTGCTCTCAACTTCATGTGTTAGATTCCTTCCTCCTCCGACATTTGTTCCATAATTGAACATATACGGAAGCTCTTTCAATGTTCCCATCTTTGCATTCATCGAATCTTTGCGAAGATGAAATGTCAAACCAGTGTCAAGGGACGGACCTATTGCGCCGGAACAAAACCTCTTCGGATCATGCATATCAAAATGCTCCAGAATCTTGCCATCCTTGTAATCATTTGAATCAAGATATACCAGATCGCCGCTATCCTTGTACTTGAGTCCCCGATGAGCTTGGGAATGCATCACAGCTACTTCCCTACCAACCTGTACGTTGGAGCTCTGTGTACTTGCGACACTGACGTCTTCTTCAGCTGCTCTGACAGCATCCTATTGTACCTGCCAGTTTGCCATTATGTCGTGTGGTGGTGACGTCCTAAATCTTGAAGGTCTAAAAATAGGCTGGGGTTGTCTCTTACGTCCGCCAAACTGAGCCATATTCCACCCCTGAATGCCAATCTTTTGCTTTCGAGGCTGTGGACCACCACTCCTGTCAGCCGAACCAGTCTGCATAGGTTCTGCTAAGAAATACCACCATCATTGTGAGCGGGCATGCCTGCGGTGTTAGCTGTCACACTTGACTGCACAGATCCTTCTTTGGTGCTTGTCTCCTGGGATACGATCTCCATTTTGTTGGATCTTTCCATTGTTCCTTGGGTCGGAATCGATGTTCACATCGCGGTGCAACATGATTCGCCTAACCACAGCAAAAACCTTTTGCGCTTACTCTCCCTGTTGGAATCCTGTGCAAGGTTAGTACCGTTCTGTGGTGTGTTCGCTTTATCATTTGCGTTGTTGTTGTTGTTGTTGTTGTTGTTGTTGTTGTTGTTGTTGTTGTTGTTGTTGTTGTTGTTGTTGTTGTTGTTGTTGTTGTTGTTGTTGTTGTTGTTGTTGTTGTTGTTGTTGTTGTTGTTGTTG